AATTAATACCGGAGCCAATTATAATAAATTGGATTCAGTTCTTTAATTTAATGTAATAGAAAGTGTGTTCAAGAAATTAACCAATTTAAACCTATCTTCAAATGTAAAAGTTGTAACAATCCCTAACAATTAATACCGGAGCCAATTATAATAAATTGGATTCAGTTCTTTAATTTAATGTAAAAGAAAGGGTGTTCAAGAAATCAACCAATTTAAACCTATCTTCAAATGTGCGTTTTGAACGGTCCTATGTCAATTTCAATAAGACTAATTTTCTGTGTGACAGTTTATATCAACCGTCATTAGAACTAAAGCACTAAATAATGATCTATATTATAATTCAAATTATAAAATATAAAGATAAAAACAATAAAGAAAATGTGATATTTTTTATACGAATCGATCTAAAGAAGTGAATCTTTCAGCATTTGTTAAGTCTTAAAGAATCCCTAATATATATATATATATATAATTACAGTGTGTTAAAATAAGTAACTTATCGTGCTAGAGGATTGTTTTCAGTCCCATATGGCTAAGTGACTTCAATGTGTTTTTCCAAATACCTTTTCATATGCGAGTCATTTGAAATTTAAAGATTTTAAGGTTCTCAAAGATTTCGTGGTTAGAGAGATTGTAGGGAAGGTATTGGTTTTTTCCTTCTAATATCTTGCTTAATATAATAACCGGTTCTATATCTCAGTGTTGTAACTGACAAAATAAAAGTGAACGCTGATTCAGTCTTTCCTCTTGGAATTATATCAAAAAAGAACAGATCCCATTATTAATTCTAAGTTCTCTCTATGTACATACCTTAATATATCTTGTATGGAAGTCTTCTTCGATAGAATTGACAAACAAGATATTCGCTTAATAGAAAAGACAGTGACGTCACACGGGAAACTTTACCTTAATATAAAACAAAAATAAACACTGCAAAAATATGTTATGGATTTACACACCAGATGGCAAAGCCGAAAACGGTGGTCGGTGCTCTTGAAATAGATAGCTCTGCCCCCTAGTCAATCATTATTAATGGTAAGTTGATAACCTGCCTGGTACACTGAGTAAACAGGGATAGAACACAGAATCATTAGTGAAAATACCTTATAGTTTAAAGACATATTCTAATGAAATAATGAAAACACAAAAATCACCGTTTGTAGAAACTTGGTATCTAACAATAATCATCCAAAGTAATTCCATGTTTCGGTGTTCTGCTATGTCAATAAATTCCAATTCACGCACATAAAACGCTAGTGCCTTATACTTACTGGCTTACGTAAGCAAAAAAGTCACTTTATTTGGGAAGAAAATCCCCCCCCCACCACACACACACACCTGAAATATCCTGAATTAACATTCCAGGGGCTGCCGTTGTTAATATATAGAATATTCCAAGAGCTGCCTTCGTTAATATATAGAACATTCCAAGGGCTGCCGTTGTTAATATATAGACAGCAAGCAACAAATAAAGCACAGGGGACAAAATCTGAATTGTGACCCCATGTCACTCCCCTTGGGTGCATGTCAGTTCGATTGAGAAAGCTGAAAACTGTAGACGTTAAAGGCGGACGAGTATACAATTTAAGTACTCGTAGGGGAGTGAAATTGGAAGGAGTTGGCGTTCGAACCTGACTCCCCTATTTCACCTCCTGGCATTCCTATGTGCTCCACATATTATTCTATTGATCCCTACTAAACTTAAAAGACATCTTTAGGAAATCCAGGAGAGTGACATAGAGGGATCAGATCCAAACAACGAGCACCCTATGTCGCTCTCCGGAATTCCCTAAGGGTGCCTTCTAACTTTCGTATACATCAGTAGAATAGTATGTGGAACACACACGAACCTCAGAAGGGGAAATTTTGAAGTCAGCTCCGAATGCCATGCACCCTATGTCACTCCCTTGGGGCCCTAAAAGGTGCACGCCAAATCTGGTTGCGATGGTAAAAAATGTAGGCATAAAAAAGTGGACATACAGACACAAATGGCACTTCTGTTTTATATGCATAGATATGTTTTAGTCTAATTAAACTAAAATCTTACCACAACGTTAAATATTTTGCACAATAAAACGTTAATAAAAAAAAATGTGCAACAAGTCTTGTTAGACATTCTCTACATGTTTCGGCGAAGATCTAGGCTCTCATAATTAAAAGTAAAAATTTAGAATATGATACAATTTATATACTTAAACAAGGGTTGCGCGTATACAAACAAAAATCCAAATAATTTACATAATTAACCAATTTGTAACCCCACCTACACTTACAAAATATATTTCCGAAAAATTAATTTCCAAAATTATATAAAATGGTACTATATTTTTTTTATAATTTCCAAAGATTCTATAATATTTAATTCATTTGTATGATAATACAAGAACGCACGATTTAGGTTGTTAAGTTAAGAAGTGGGCCAGATGACTATCTATAATTGCAATAATGGGAAAGTAGCGTTAGTAGGAGATAACAGTCGAGTTACTAAACGTAACCTTGGAAGCGAACTATTATTAGTTAGCGTTTCCCTTGACAACATAAAACCGGGAGTTTCCTGGTGTGCGTATAAAAGAAGTAGCTGAAAATCTTTTATTCACTCTGGAACCACGGGCAGGAAGGATAGCAGGTATTGACTAACGTCTTTTTTTTTTTTTTTTTTGGAACTATTAATTTTGCATTGTTACAAAAACTAAAGTATGTTTAAAGTGGCTTAGCAAGCAATTAAACTTTTTTTTCTTCTTTAGCTCAAAATATAGTTTGTTTAAAATATATTCCAAAGTGAGTTTTCACCAGCGGAAAATACTTAAATACTTATTCTACATGACTTTTACAAAATTAATTTGAGCATACAGTTTTCATTGCCGAATTAGAGGAAAGCATCAGTTTTAATATCTTAGAACAATGTTTGAAAGTGTGTTTTGGATTAGATTTCGAAATATTTCATCCAGAAAAAATGTCGGAAAACTTTAAAATATCGTCAGAACTAACTTTTTTCCGAGCCTAAGAAACAGAAATATAATAAACACCAAAACGTATATTTCATACGTAAATATTCACACCTCTGACTTATCTGACGTTAAATTCTCTATTCTTTTGACGCAGATCATTTCAATTATGGATGATGGAATATGGACATTGTTACAAAATGACGTTCGAGTGCTTTTCCAATTCATCTGTGTATGGTGGGTAATGGCCTTAATTTCTGGAGGGCTTTTAATGCTTAAAATCTACTCGAGACTCACACTGGGAGTATGCAAGTATGAAATCGACCTTTCTGGAAAAACTGTGATCATCACTGGGGGGAACACAGGTAGGTTGCTCCTGATTGTTATTATTCTGATCACTATTTCATAAATAAAAAAAAATCATAAATATGGTCAGCACTCCAATGGGCACAACTCAAATAGATCAGACTGAGTTTTGCAACAATGTTTAAGCGTAATTGTGGCATGAAACGTTAAAATAAATTAACGTTTAGCTTTGTTTACTATTATCGCAGAAAATTAATAGACAGTTAAGATAAAACACTGATTTCATAAACTACGTGACCTCGTTGTTTTCTTACCTTATATAACATATTCGGGAAATTAGTATCTAAATTTTAATGTTATGACATTAGGTTTAATTTAAGTTATTACTGATATATGAAAGCTTTGTAAGCGCGAAAAAATATAGAAAAATAAATCAGAAAAAATAACCAAGAGGAATTGTTTTTCCCATTATAAATAAAAATATTTCTTATCGGTACTCTTCATTAAATGTGAAATTTTGATCATAATTTTAACCACGATGTACAAAAGTCAATGAGTATAAAACTTGCACTGACTTAAGTGTATCAAATCTTCGTTTGTGTATTTGGTTGTTTTTTTTAACCAGTGTTTTCGATTCTACAAACACTTCACAAGATTCGGTAAGCTTTGCTTAATCAGATTAGGCCTTCTTGTGGTTAGGAATTGCCTTTCTTAGCTTAATGGCAAGAGATTCTCGTATTCTAAAGGGAATGACGGTTAAAAAATTGAAGATAACATAACGTTAAATTCTTTTAGACAATGGTAGGTGCTATAGGTTCTATCGTTACAATGTTCTATTGTTTGACTGTAGATCCTTCTAGTGGTTGATCCAATTTATCTTTGGTTGCATCTCAGGCATGTGAACTCGTATACCACTCTTGGGGTATTCGATGGATGTTATTTGTTGTTAAAGTTGAAGAGCCCTTTTAACCCAGACTCTGTTTTAAAGATACATTTTAACTAAACTTGTGGAAATAGATGTTTAATAATTAAACATGTATGAAATAGTGCCTAAGTAGTATAGGATCAAAGAAAAAGTTATCTCCGAAACATCCAACTTGAGTTCTGAGGCTTAATCCAGCTTGATGTAAAACGCAATAAACCCACCACCTTCAACTGTGCTTGAATTAAGCATGTATATTGTTACGTCTCCGTTTGTTAATTAACTTTCCGTAACTTCGTTCCAACGAAACTTTAACGACACAAGTCTTTACTTAATAAAACTGGTTTATTCTTTCCGAATATAACTCTTCGATACACTTAATCTCAATGCTCGCGCTAAAACAACACTGTAACGAACGAACGTTAACTTCAACAATACCCTGTTACTGCAGTTCAATTACTCACTATCTACCCACACATTACCTTCCCCTCTTTTATATACCAGCCTACCCTATATCCAGCAAGAACTAGAACATTCGCCAAATTACAGGATAATTCTAGAAAGTAGAGAGCGTGAGAATCACATGATCTCGATGACGCAACAATATGTTACATCAATCTCGTA